TCAGTTTGAAAGAGATATATTTGAGCAACTTAGGCATTTGGTGTGCATTTTGAAAAATTATACTATAGGCCAGGTGCAGTGGCTCATGCCTGTACTCCCAGCATTTTGGGAGGCTGAGGTGGGCAGATCACCTGAGATCAGGAGTTCGAGACCAACCTGGGCAACATGGCAAAAAACCATCTTTACTAAAAATACCAAAATTCGCTGGGGGTGGTGGCACATGGCCTGTAATTCCAGCTACTTGGGAACCTGAGGCAGGAGAATCACTTGAGCCTGGGAGGTGGAGATTGCAGTGAGCAGAGATCGTGCTACTGCCCTCTAGCCTGGGTGATAGAGACTCTGTCTTAAACAATAACAACAACAAACAAAACAAAACAAAACAAAAATTATACTGTAAATTACTAGGAATTTCAACTGGGTGCATGGAGGAGAAAAAACCCTCTGTTGCTGAAAGAATGATGGAGGTGAAGCCTTAAACTCCATACATCTCACTCTGGGATTTCTCAGTTGTATTTTTGCTTCTAAGGCAGGGTCTTGCTCTGTCGCCCAGGCTGGAGTGCAGTGGTGCAATCACAGCTCACAGCAGCCTCAATCTGGGCTCAAGTGATCCTCTTTCCACCTCAGCCTCCCAAATGGGTAGGACTACAAGCACATGCTGACATGCTCAGCTATTTTTTATTTTTACTTTTAGTTTTAGTAGAGACAAAGTCTTGCTATGTTCCCCAGGCTGGTCTCAAACACCTGAGCTTATGCCATTGTCCTGCCTCAGCCTCCCAAAGTGCTGGGATTACAGATATAAGCCACCTTGCTCAGCCTCATTGATTTTATGAATAATTCTAACAGCTCTGCCAAGGATAATCAGAATTTTTTTTGAATTACAAAACTAGATATGAAAATTAGAAGACTCATAGAGACAGGGACATTTACTGCAGCAGTGATTGCTCAGAGAAAGAGAGAGGAAGGGAGGAGAGAGAGACTGAGACTACTGAATCACAATTTAGCATAAAAATTAGTGATCATAATATGGACAAGAGACAGGGAAATACTGGATAGAAGAGGGTGGTTCCCCAGCAAAAGCCCCACCCTCAAGCCTGGAGACCCTCGGCCCTGAGTGGGAATGGGCATTTCTGTTTTCGTGCCCTGAAAGTTGCCTTTTGACCTGCTATGCCCCCCATTTGGTACCCATATAACCCTGAACTTTAGGTTCCAGAAGCAGACAAGCAGATGAGATGAGGAGACAAGCAGATGAATGGCAGAATGAAGTGGCAGAGAAAGAGAGAAGAGGAGGAACATCTGAACGCCAAGAGGAGTTAGGCTGGGGGTGGTGGGAGAGGAGTTTAGCCTCTGGATGGCCAAACTCCAGGGGAAGATAATCTTCCCACTGCATCCCCACTTTCAGCTCCCTATCCATCCTGCTGAGAGCCACCTTTACCACTCATTAAAACCCTGCATTCATCCTTCAAGTCTGTGTGCAACCTAATTCTTCCTGGATGCTGGGCAAGAGCTTGGGATACAGAAAGCTCTCACACTGGCCCTCCGCCCTTGCAAAAAGGCAGAGAGTCCATTGAGCTGGTTAACAGTTATGCTGTCTGTGGACAGCAATGCTAAAAGAGCCTTGTAACACTGGGGCTGCAGGCACCCTCCCCTAGACACCACTGTGGGGCTGGAGCCCAAAGCACTTGCCCTGACTTCTGCACCTTACAGTCTGCATGCTCCCCTTCTTGTCAGGGGTTTGAGCAACGGTGACTGAACAGGCGAGTCACACCCACGTTGCACATCCTTCGAGGGGGATCAGGAACTCTCCCATTTCAATAATTACTATTCTGTGTTGTTAAGATTATATTTGGGATTATCTATTTAGAAAAAAAGGAAATATAGAAAATGTTTTGGAAATATTCCATTCAAAAGGGTGAATATAAAGTATTCAGACATGAGGATAGACTTTTGTTATCAAGCAACATATATTTATCGAGCATCTCTGGTAGAGGGATGGATTCAAAGATTGTTCTGCCTTCAGGGAGTTTACAAACATGTACTTGAAAAACTAGCAATGGAAACGGTGTGTGATAGGATTTTGATGAATACACTAAGCATCAAAAGAGATCAGGGAATGAGAACAGCTTTGTGGCTGCAAAGATCTGAAAAAGAGCTGGGTCTGAAATGGAATCTAGGAAGGATTCACTGAGGCAAAGGAAAGGAGGAAAGGGGTGAGGAGAGAGAAAAGAATTAATATAGGGAATTGTATGAGAAAGGCCAACAACGTGTGGAGTGCATTTTAGTCCCACAATGCCAACAAAGAAAGCATTTATAGATAAAGTGTCTGGCTTCCATTTTTAACGAGAGAGAATTTTAAATAAGCAAGAATATAAGTTTCTACTTTGAGGTATTAATTACTATCATTTCAGCAAAATGTTTATCTTCTCTCAGAATTCAATACATGGTAAATCATTTTTAAAGAAAACTGAGGTTTCAGAAATTACTCCAAGGTGAAAGCTAGTCTTTATTACTCTGATCTAAATTATTATGTATCTTGTCTTTTTTTTTTCTTCAACTTTTATTTTAAGTTCTGGTCCAAGGTGAAAGCTGGTCTTTATTACACTGATCTAAATTATTATCTATCTGATCCTTTTTTTTCCTTCAACTTTTAAGTTCTGGGGTACGTGCGCAGGATGTGCAGGTTTGTTACGTAGGTAAACGTGTGCCATGATGGTTTGCTGCATGGATCAACCCATCACTTAGGTATTAAGGCCAGCATCCATTAGCTATTCTTCCTGATGCTGTCCCTCCTGTCCCCTGGACAGGCCCCAGCGTGTGTTGTTCCCCACGATGTGTCCATGTATTCTCATAGTTCAGCTCCCACTTATAAGTGAGAACATGTGATGTTTGTTTTTCTGTTCCTGCGTTATTTGCTGAGGTTAATGGCTTCCAGCTCCATCCGTGTCCCTGCAAAGGACATGATCTCATTCCTTTTGATGGGTGCATAGTATCCCATAGTGTATATGTACCACATTTTCTTAATCCAGTCTATCACTGATGGGCATTTGAGTTCTGTCTTGTCCTTTTAAACTGTTCATTGTAACATCTTGAGTATAATAATTTGAAACCTTCCATTTTGCTATTTTTATATAAATCTTTTCATCTGTTAAATCTTATAACTATGAATGTTTACTTACATTATTTTATAAGTACATCAATTTTTGTAACTTTTAATTGACTATTGAAAATAGCATTAATTAGTACCAATTACAGATCATTAAGCTCAACATTATATGTTGTAAAAATTATCAAAGATCACTGATCATTAGAGAAATGGAAATCCAAACCACAATGAGATACCATCTTATGCCATTCAGAATGGTGATTATTAAAAAGTGAAGGAACAACAGATGCTGGTGAGGTTGCAGAGAAAAACGAATGCTTTTACACTGTTGGTGGGAACATAAATTAGTTCAACCATTGTGAAAGACAGGGTGGTGATTTCTCAAAGATCTAGAAGCAAAAATGCCATTTGACTCAGCAATCCCATTACCAAGTATATCTCCAAAGGAATATAAAATATTCTGTTATAAAGCTACATGCACTTGTATATTCATTGCAGCACTATTCACAATAGCAAATCAAACCAAATGCCCATCAATGATAGACTGGATAAAGAAAATGTGGTACATATACACTATGGGATACTATGCAGCCATGAAAAGGAATGAGGTCATGTCCTTTGCAGGGACATGGATGGAACTGTAAGCCCTTATCCTCAGCAAACTAATGCAGGAACAGAAAAACAAATACTGTGTGTTCTCATTTATAAGTGGGAGCTGAACAATGAGAATACATGGACACATCGTGGGAAACAACACACTGGGGCCTGTTGAGGGGGTTTGGGGGAGGGAGAGCATCAGGAAGAATAGCTAATGGATGCTGGGCTTCATACCTAAATGATGGGTTGATCTGTGCAGGAAACCACCATGGCACACATTTACCTATGTAACAAACCTGCACATCCTGCACACGTATCCCAGAACTTAAAAGTTGAAGAAAAAAAATTATCAAAGATGAAAGGGCAGTTATTTTATAGAGATAGAAACTTGAGAGAGTAGATATGCTTTTATTCTTTTTTAAACATTCACATAAATAGATTCTGATATTTCCTTACATGTGATTGCAGTTAATGATAGAGTGGGGCTAAGAGAAAAGAAATTAACAGATGTTAAAAAGAAAATTATTTAGCAACTTATTTTTAAAAAGTAGCTTGTGGCTTATTGGAACACAAATTATATAATAGTGTTTTATGTATGTATATGTGTGTATATATGAATATATATACACATGATCACAATTACTATATATTTCATATATATTTCATATATATAATGTATATATATAGTGTATACATGTACACATATATGTGAAATATAGTGATTTTTTCCAGTAAAAATCTTTTTATTGTGGAAAATCATTTTTTATTTTTATTTTAAAATTTTTTATTTTAATTTTTGAGGGTATTAGATGTATATATTTATGGGGTACATGAGATATTTTGATACAGGCTGCAATGTGTAATAATCACATCATGTAATATGGGGTGTCCATCCCCTCAAGCATTTATTTGTGTTACAAACAATCCATCATACTCTTTTAGTCATATTAAAATGTACAATTAAATTACTGTTGACTGTAGTCTCCCTGTTGTGCTATCAAATACCAGGTCTTATTCATTCTTTTAAAAAATTTCCAACTTTTATTAAGTTCCAGGGTACATGTGCAGGATGTGCAGGTTTGTTACACAGGTAAACATGTAGCATGGTGCTTTGCCACACAGATCATCTCATCACCCAGGTACGAAGCCCAGCATGCATTAACTATTCTTCCTGATGCTGTCTCTCTGCTGACTCCCTGGCTTCAACAGGCCCCAGTGTGTGTTGTTCCCCTTCATGTGTCCATGTGTTCTCATCATTTAGCTCCCAGAAAATTTTCAACATAGACAAAAGTGGAGAGAAAAGTATAATGAAACTCCATGTATTCATTACCCAATCTAAAAAAGTTATAAACATAAAGCCAATCTAGTTTTATTTATTATCTCTTAATTCCCCACTTTCACCTTCCCAGAACTAATTTTAAACAATTTCTAAAGATCATATGATTCTGTTCATAAACACTAGTTGTTATTATTATTATTTAACATAGGGAATATTCATATATGTAACAGGTACAAAGGCTGTAATATTTAAAGCTCTTTTATGTTCCCGTATTAAATGTAAATATTTATTTAAACTCATGGCTTTCCTTGGTTCATCAAATCAGGTAATAAATTAACCAGACAGGTTCACATTCAATCAGATAGCATTCCAAATTGCTCCTGGCATCTTCAAAAGATCAGGATTGTTCGGATGCTGTTAATAACAATAAAACATTAATAAGTATAATTTTCATGATAAATTTAACCAAAGCTCACAAATAAGTTTTGCCTTTTCATTTCAGGATCTGGTCTTCCTTTTTAGACATCCACTTTATTAAGCCTAATTTCTTTTATCCCATCATCCTCTTCCGTTCATGGTGTTAATAATATTTTATACATGTGCTAGTAAACTGGGGGGGAATTCAGGACCCTCACTCACCTTAGGCAGCGTCCTTGTTACTCAGTGGTGCTGTTGAGGAGAATTAGAATGTACCAAGGAGGGAGTCAGGTTTTAGTCTTGGAATAGTCATTGTTCTCAGATCTCCTATAGCTGAGGGCAAAGTTGAGCATCGAAGGAGGGAGTGGGCATCAAAGTTGGTGTGTTGGGATTCTACTTTTTGAGAACCCAGATGTTCTTATTCCTGCATAACTCCAACATGTAGACACCAAGCGGGGGATAAGCCTCAAGGACAGAGCAGTCCTTATCTCAGACATTACTGCTGGAGCTGTGGAACCCCTATCAGCAGCTTGCTATGCATAAATGTTTTCTTCACCCAGGACTGGAAGACACCCCTACCTGTGGAAGGAGAATCTCTGTGTCCTTTCCTCACTCTGGGGCAGGGTCACTGCACCTCAACAGGCTAATCAGTCATTGTATCCCATCCCCTTCCTCCCACTTCCTTGCTTCTTTGCAGTTGGGTGGTAGGAGGGCCTGCCCTCTCTTGTGCTTCCTGTGCCCATATGGGGGACACATCTGATGAGGCCCAACTTCTGCCTTCCCCATTGCCACCTTTCCATCTGTGTGGGCAGTCTGACGGTATTCTCAGTGGGCTAGAGAAGGAGCAGGAAGCCTCACTCTGGTGTCTACCCCTAGGCTGATTACCAGGGAAGCCTCCTTGGAGAATGTGGGAGACTTGCCCATAAAGCAATGCAGCATTTTCCACCTGGCCGCCACTTAGCATTCCTTATGGGTGTGTTCCATAATTGAGAATTCTGGGAGAAAAAGTTTGTGTTAGAGGATATGAGTACAAGGGTGTGAGGCTCAAACCCCACTCCAACCTCTAACTCCTAACTTGAGGAGTATTCCTTATGGGGATATTGAGATTGTACAAAATATTGCAGGGCTTATATACTAAGTTTACATGGTGTAGCTTAAAAAATAATGCTTGTATTTTCTTTTTATTGAACTTCCTTTTGATATGTTGTCACTGACACGTTTGCAAATTGGGGAGTTCATGTCAGTGGGATATTTCCTCAGGTTTCTTCCCCAAGAAGTAGTCTGGGTCCTCACACCATGAAACTATCTTCTTCTTCTGCAACATTTATTCCCTGCTTCAAATCCCAGTTATTTTAATTTTACTTTAGCCTTTTCCTCCTCTCTTTTGTTGTGTCTTCTCTTTTCATTTCTTCTTTGTCCTGCATCTCCTCTATGTATCATTGTTCCTAATGTTTTTGACCTTTGTTTCTATTGATCAAGGCTGTGCTTGAATATTTTACCTAGAATCATTTATCCTAGTCTTACTAATCCCCCAAACCCTAAGAATCTTCCAGGTGGAGCATTTCTATACATCAGTTCCTGGAATCCCTGACATGGGAGACTGTATAACTATAATAGTGGATCAGAAGGTATCTTATAGGAACTCCATGGCAAAGCAAGAGAATGAGACAGTTGGGGCATCCTTTACATGTCTGATCCCTGCCACTCTCTGTTCACATAGCCATGGTTTTCACCCCATTCTGATTGTGAAGGGTCTGGGGTAGGCACTCTGTGTCAAACTGCAGAACACCATGGTGCCAAACTCAGGGGTACACTGTACTAGAGGGATCTAACATTATACTATGCAGAAACCTCTCTTTCTAGGGAGCAGCCCCAACTGAGTTAATGGTTTTTGAAATGGAAATTGTATGAATTTATACCACCATTCTATATTGTAACAGTGTACAGATGTGCATTATTGAAATGGAAGCCTTTTCCCTCTGAAATAGCCACTATTCAATCTTTTAAGCACATCTAATACCTGGGATGTGGAAAATGTCAGAAAAAACAAGTTGGTTAGTTCTTAACATAAAAAAAAATAGAATCATTGTAAATGTTTTTTAAATCATTCAATCATCTATTAGTAATGTACCTTTTCCCTTGGTTCATTAGGTCGAATGCCTCACTGATTTTGTCAAAAGGCAGGGTATGGGTCACCAATGCATCCAGATTGAATTTCTTATTCTTATAGTCAGTGACCAGCTTTGGGATAGAATCTACACTTTTCCAACCTGTAATGTGGACAAAATGCAAAATAAAGACATGCACTTGACACAAAGTAGTTTAATCAGCATTTGCTGAACGAATGAAATTATTAGGTCAGATTTGGTTTGTTTCAAATAGATTAAACTCCTTCCATCTTTAATTTTCTGCACTTATATCTACTTTAAAAATTTTCTTTATAAGAAAAATTTAAGATTATTTTCCACTCTATATAACAAATTATCTCAATTAGGTCAATGTTTATTTTTTGTTCCTCCATGTTGGTTCATTCAAATGCAAATTAAATTTCAATTTGCAAATTATAATTACCTTTTTATATAAATTACTTATAAGTAATTAATAGTTTTTATGTAGTGTTTGGATATGCTCTAAGGATTCAATGTTTGGGTAAATTATTTTTATTTCCTTTCAATAATCTTCACTCTAAGAATTTCAGAACTACTAGGAAAAATATTTAAAGCTATGAAGAAAAAAAATCTGACCCCCAAAGAATGTTCCATTTATAGTACGGCCGATTATTAGCTCCTCTGGAAAAATAGTCAATCCTTTGCTACCAGCAGCTACTCCAATGAAAGTACATGTTCCCCAGCCTGCGGTTGTACAGTCCAGGGCTGCTTTCTGTAAGATCGAACACAAAAGACTACTTGAGTTAGTGGAAAAGTAGAATATGAACTCCACTGTGGGAATGTACAATGCTTTAGAAAAAAATTAATGCAACTCTGCCTGTAAGATAATGGGATTCAAGCTAATGACATCATAGTATCATTGTAGATTGAGCCTCGAGGGCCAAGTGTTCCATTACAGATAGAATGTTCAGTATAGTCTGGGTGTAGGTGACTCATACCTGTAATCTTAGAACTTTGGGAGGCCAAGGTGGGTGGATCATTTGAGGCCAGGAACTCAAGACCAGCCTGGCCAACATGGCAAAACCCTGTCTCTACTAAAAATACAAAAATTAGCTGGGTGTGGTGTTGCCTGCCTGTAGTCCCGGCTACTTGGGAAGCTAAGGCTGGATAATTGCCTGAATCCGGGAGGAGGAGGTTGCAGTGAGCCGAGACTGCACCACTGCACTCCAGCCTGGGTGACAGAGTGAGACTCTGTCTCAAAAAAAAGAAAAAAAATTAGTAAAATAAAGATAAAGATGTCTAAAAAATCAGCATACATTTGTGTGTAAGTAAATAAGTTTTATATTTGCCTCTGATAAATGTTTAAAGTGTCAGAGTTTGGCATAAAGGTTGTGAAACTATAAACCCAGCCGAATCTCTCTTTGTGTGACTTTTTTTTGACAAATAAGACTAGTTTAAAATTGTTAGGTCAATAACAGCAACTGAACCACCTAATTTACCAGCAAAATCCCTATGTGTTTAACCTTAAGTTTCTTACTTAGGTTTTCACCTGATGTTCAGATTTTAAAAATAGTTAATAAGGGCCAGGCATGGTGGCTCACGCCTGTAATACCAGCACTTCGGGAGGCTGAGGCAGGTGGATCACTTCAGGTCAGGAGTTCAAGACCAGCCTGGCCAACATGGAGAAACCCTGTCTCTACTAAAAATACAAAAAAGTAGCCAGGCACGGTGGCGTGTGCCTGTAGTCCCAGCTACTCAGGAGTCTGAGGAAGGACAATTGCTTGAGCCCGGGAGGTGGAGGTTGCAGTGAGCCAAAATCGTGCCCCTGAACTCCACCGGGCGACAGAGTGAGACTCCATCTCAAAAAAAAAAAGTTAACAAGGAAATAACCTTAAATAATGACTAATTCTGCATAATATCTCAGTTATCAAAAGTTATCTAGATACCTGTTAAAAATGAAAAAGTATATGTAAATGAAATAAATGCTTATAAGTGGACTTTGTGTAGTATAAAATCTGAAAATTATTTTAAATTAAATAATAAATGCTGGATGTGTGAGTCATTTCCAGTTAAAAAATTGTGATATAGGAAAACATGTTTCTAAAATTGTGAGATGATTTCATCTATAAAATGCTTACATCTAACAGTTCAGGATTTCTTGCTTTCTAAGTTTTCATGAAAATTTAAGGTTATTAGGAATAAGAATTCTAATTCATATATAAATATATAATTGTATTCTCTTTTTTTTTGAGGCAGTCTCACTCTGTTGCCCAGGCTACAGTGCAGTGGCGTGATCATAGCTCACTGCAGCCTCAACTTCCTGCAGTTTCTCACCTCACCCTCTCAAGTAGCTACAGGTGTGTGCCACTACACCTGATTAATTTTTGTATTTTTAGTAGAGATGGGTTTTTGCCATGTTGCCCAGACTGCTCTTGAACTCCTGGGCTCAAGCAATCTGCCCACCTCAGCCTCCCAAAGTGTTGGAATTATAGGCGTGAGCCACTATGCCTGGCCTGTATTCTTATTAAAAAATAATTTTATATAATTTGGAGATTATTTTAAAGTTATTTACTTAAAAAGATGAAAAAAGTAAGTAGGGGAGAGAAATATACAGTTATAAATATAAAAATATATTTTAATAAAATAATTTAATAATATTTATTTTAATAAAATATGCATTATTCATATATTTCATATAAAATTTGATATAAAATTTCATATAAAAATTTCATATAAATAATTTCATATAAAAAAGAATCTTATGGTAAAATCTTGTCCTAAAATAAAATGACTGATTATTTAAAAAGAAAAAAATTAGGATAAGTCAAAAGTCCAGGCATATCATAGACCATCTGTGTAAGTCATAATAAGGTTCATGAAGAGGAATTTATAAAAAAATTTTGTATGGGATTAAATTTGCTATAATTAAAAGAGGATTATTTAGAATAGTCTTTCTAAGATTATTCCCCTATGTTAAAACAAAGTTTCTTTACAGTATTGATTTGCTCTTAATAAAATTAAAAGAAATTTAACTTTTAATTTTATAATTTGTTTCTTTTGAAAACTTCTCAAAATCATATGTCAGAAGTTCAACTTTTGCTATCTCCCTGCTTTCAGCTTTGTCTCCCCTTGGACTGATATAACTCTCTTCTTTAGCCTTTTCATCAGTTATTATTAGTTTTTTCCTCCAGTTCTAACTATTCTTACGGCCTGATACTAAAATGTTTTATCTTAAAGGTCTAGGAGTGAATGTTTTCCTCCAGTACAACTTGATTCTGTACTCTTGGCTTTTCTTGATATGTTTAAATTTTTCAATGTAATGAGAAAATTTCTCATGCAGCTACTAAGAATTATGTATTTTCCTGCTGTACTCATAATCCTGAACACACTTTTCCCGTGTCTGATTAAATTCAAGCACTTTTCCCATCAGGTTTATTGAAATGGGCCTCTCATAAGGAGAAGCAGTCACACTACCAGTTTTTCTTTCCCTTTCTGGTAACTGACTTAAGAAACAACATTATACATTTTATCAAAATAATTCCCATGTTGTCTATATTAGGTTTTTAATTGCTTTAAAAAACAGGGTTAAGGTTTTTACATCCATATATCCTTATGTATTGCCTTTAAAGTCTTTTGATGATATATTTGGCTAAATAAGTAACTATTGCTTTACAGTGACCTATGGTTCTATTTTAATCAAATGTTTTGAGGCCTTTAACATTTTTGACAAACACTTTCAAAATTAAATTCTAAATTAAGTCTCTGACTTATTGCTGGGGCTTATCAAAGCTATAAAAAATTAATCACTGAAAAGTTATAAAATCTTTCTACAGCTTCCAGTCAGGTCTTAGACTCCAGTATCACTACCTTCAGCTCCTTAAAAGGGTCCTTAGCAGGTGTTAATAATAATCCTTGTGCTGGTAAGTTACAGGGTGTTGACCCTTGGTTTAGAGGGTTAGAGGTCATTGAAACCTAGAAACATAGCTTTTCCTAGTTATAGAAACTTTTGGTAGGAGAGTAGGTAACTCATCTTTTGGTGATTAAGTAAATCCTTCTCTTTCCAAGGATTTATTTGGATTCTCTAATGTAATTCTGTTCCATAACTGAAAATGACTTTCATGATATAATAAGTCAGTTTAATGATAGAAGATGCTAACTTTTAGGTCAGTGGTTCTCAGCTTGAGAAATTAATTTTTAAAATGTTGTCAGTGGGCCCCCAGCACACAAGAATATCCTGGGTATGGCGCATTCATTGGTATTAAAAAAGCAACAAAACAACAATGAAAAACCCCTAAGGAAATTCTAACATATAGCTAGTGTTGAGAATCTCTGTACAAGAAAAATAAGGTGAATAGGCTAAATTTTAGTGTTTGTAAATAAATGAGCCATGGGAAGCAGGGTGATGGATGTGGCATGCTGCACACTGCAGGTACTAACATCAATTCAAAAGCAGGGCCTGAAGCCTTGAACACAGGTGAGCCGTGCCAGATATGGAGCCCTTGATGCATGCATTTTCAATAATAGCTAATGTTTATTGTGTGCTTAGTACCTGCCAGATACTGTTTTCAGCAGTTTGCATATAGTATAATGAAACTGTTCAGAGAAGAATGACTGAGGAACAGCAGCCTGTGGCTGTCATCACAAGTCTTCCTGGATCTCATTCTTTTCTGGGGAATACACCAGTTGTGTAAGAACCAAGGGGGAAGAACCAGCACAAAATTTGCTTCTGGGAAGTATAGAATTTTATGCTTTATATCTTGCCTAGAGGATGGGTTGGGAGCTAGGCTGAATGAAGGTGTAAGTAAAAGGAATAACATCACAACTACTTCATGGCTCTCACTAATGAAATAAGAAGAATCCATAGGCAGATAATTCAGTTGATGAATTCTTTGGTCATTTCATTAAAAACAAAAACAAACAAACAAAAAACACAAAACAAAACTCCCTAAATCTGCTTAGTGTCTTTGAGTAAATACACATTAGGTGATTATTTGCTGACTCTCTGGAGAATTAGGCTGGGCACTCCAGCAAGGTAACTTTTCAGTATATTGCCTGTAGTTGTAGTTGGTTCTTCATTCCACTTTTTGGAGTAGAATAGACAGGCTGGCTTCGTAAGTGTGCAACCAGTGCAGTCACTGAGGGCACTGTAGCCTGTCCTGAGTCGGGAAGAAATCAGAATGATACAACATTGTAGTGTTCAGGAAAAAAAGGTGATTTAAATTTTGTGGTATGGTTTTTTTGAAATATAGAAAATTTCAAATGTGTAATTTGGACCTAATTTTGCAACCTATTTATTGAGATCTGATGGACAGAGCTGGGCTGTGTGTGGGTTGCTAGCCTCTCCCTGTTCTACTTTAATATGGGAGTGAATGTGTTGCAGCTATTAGGAAACACCAGTCACCCTCTCTTATTTCCTTCTCTAGATCTGCCTTCTGTATATTTTTTTGTGGGGGTAGGGCTCACTTCTCATAAAACACAATTCTTTTAAAATGTTCATTTCTAAGTTTTCTCTATTTTTTGCTGCATTTCATATAGAAGAATGAACAAATATTAATAACATTAATTTTAAGGACTAATAGAAATAGTTATTTACATATTAATAAACATTACTTACAATAGATTATTATATAATGTATAATATCTAAGTGTTAACAAATAGTATTTATTATCTGTAAACATGTTAATATTAAATATATCAATACATGCACATATTGTTTATTAATTTTAAATATTATATACTGTTATAGAAAAGATATTCTACATTATTAACAAATATTAATATTAATAACATATATATAATGTATAAGATAGCTAAGCCAAACAAGTGTTTTTCCTATTTATTCATTGCAGTTAGTTAATTCATCCCTTTATATCTTTTGCTAAAGAATGCTGTCCCTTAATGCACTTGTCATTTTATTTGATTTCATAGTCAAAAGGAACATTTCTCTAATTAATTAAAAATGAAGAAACCCCTAAAATTGTCTCCAAGGAATAGGAATTGGAATTATCATAGAAAACAAAATTAGAAAATATTATCTCCAGACAAATAATATTGAGCTTTTTAAAGGGATCTCAAATCAGCATCTACACATAATGCTGGCATGGCTTCTTATCACAAGAGAAGACTGAACTCACCAAGATAGTACTGGCATTTGGGGGGACACATTCATGGGCATTGAAGGAAATGGAGTATAGCTGAGGGAATGGGAAATGATTTGTGGCTTATACTTCTACTCCACTGTCATCCATTTGAAAGTACTAAGAAGGAATGGTTATAGTTACCATAATAAACATAATCCACTTTCCCCTATTATTTAACAGCCAAAGAATAAATTGAAAACATAAACCAAGAAAAAAATATACATACCATGGTTTCAGATCCACCTGCACAGTCAAGAGCAAAATCCACACCTCCCTTGGTCAATTCAATGATAACCTCCTGGATGGGTTTATGCAGGTTTCTAGGATTGAGGCAATCAGTGGCTCCCAGGGCTTTAGCCTTTGCAAACTTCTCACTGTTGATGTCAATACCTATGATTCTGGAAGCTCCTGCAGCTTTACAACCCATTACAGCAGAAAGACCCACACCTCCTAGGCCAAAGACAGCACAAGTCGAGCCAGGGGTGACCTGAAAGCAGGAAAATTATAAAATAACTTTTAAAGTAGCTAGTCCCACTTTTTTCGTTTTAAGAGGCAGGAGGAAGTGGGGGCATGAACATATGAATTAAGGACAGCCTGCTATTAAACTCTATGATATAGCCAATGGAGGAAATCTGCCAATGTGAAAATGGATGCATTACTACCTAAATTTGGAGAATTATTTAATGTTCATTAAGATTATAAGAAACAAACCCAAGTAAAAATAATTCCCTTGTTTTACTTTTTCCCTTCAGTGTTAGAACAAAATTTGAAAACCCACACATTCTGAAGGGTTTATTGCTTTCCTTTTAAAATTGGATCACTAGTAATTTGACATCTATATTTCTAATAGGCCTCATTTGGTTGTATTAATATTACAGTGATTTACTTGATCACTCCAAATCACCAGTTTGGAATGAAGTCCAATTTGTTTTACATGGCATGAAAGGATTTTTATTGTCTGACCTCTGTCTACCTTCCAACTTCATCGCCATGATATTCCCAGTACAAGAACTGCGAACAGATTGTTGCACTTCTCCTCATGCTGTAGTTGACGCTGTTCCCTCAGACTGATGTACTTTTCATCTTATTTTCTTTAATTAAAGTATAACCTATACTCCTACGCCTGACTTCAAGGACATTCTCTCTATGAAACTTTTCTTGATTCTTTAATTAGAAATCAATGCCTATCGTTTTGTTTTTCTTGTATCATATAATTTATAACCTGCCTTGATTGTGTGTGTATGTGTGTTTCTTTAAAAGACTACATTTTATGAAGGCAGAAACTTTTTAAATTCCACATTATTATGAAAGGGTCTTTTGTATGTTGAATCTTTAATACATTTTTGTTTCATTGCATTAAATGGAAGTAATAGATAAGATGGTAAGAAAAGATGCTGTAACTGGAATGTTATTCTACAGACTAGTATAGTGATAGAAAAATACTACATAGAGAGATACTTAATATTTCCTAATGAGGATGCAAAGCTGTTAGTATTAAAACATAAACAAAAGGAAAAGAGAAAATCTGCTCAAGGTAAGTATTAATACATTCTAAATTGGAAACAAAATTACTGAGCAACAGGTAAACTGCAATATTTTCATTATTTATCTATATTAGGTATGCACACCTCTGGCTTTTGCTACTCAGGGGAAATAATATATATGTATATATATTGCAAATAGTAAGAATATTGTTCTTATGATGGCTTCTTTACTATAATGTTGTGGCATGTGTTCAGTATGTTTCTTAATATATTTCTCCAGAGTCTCAGTTAAAAAGAGCCTGTGAGTCTCTTAGGAAGTGGAAATGCATTTTTCCCATTGCAGCAGTGTAACTACTAGTTGGATTCTCAGGCTAACTCACGACAATGTGTAAATAGAATATGCTGCATTACTTGTATCATACAACTAGGCCCCTGTGTATAAAAGTGCATTTGCTTGCAGAACTTTGGTGGGGTCACTATAAATTGCCCCCACAATTTGCAAGTAGGTCTACACACAGTGGATGATTGTCTGTCTGCAAGTACCACTGCTAGAGGATATTTCCACTCTTCCAAAGGTCTCTGTGTAATGTTGTTTAATTGGCAGATACAAGCACATCAAAAAGAAATAGGGGTTCTGGTGATGCTAGTATGTTCTCAATAATTATACAGAGAGGTTGCTTCACTTTTCTTCCCAGAAGTAAGTTAAATTTTATCAAAGCTCTTGCCTTTTGAATAGAATTACTGATACTTCACTTTCCTTAATTTCTTCCTATCAGATTCATTTCTCTCTGAGCATCCCATGAGGTGGCTTAGCAGCTAGAATCTCCTCCTTTACAGTGGGAAGAATAGCTCCTGGAAATTTAGGTCGACTTTGGATTTAAAAGAAAGCTGTACAATTCCACTTCTGGATATATAACCAAAGGAAATGAGCTGTGCATACCCATGTTCAATGAAGCATTATTCACAATAGCCAAAATGTGGAACCAATCCTTAAACAAAAGGAAGAGAGAAAATCTGCTCAAGGTAAGTATTAATACATTCTAAATTGGAAACAAAATTACTAAGCAACAGGTAAACTGCAATACTTTCCTTATTTATCTATAATATTAGGTATGCACACCCCTGGCTTTTGCTCCACGAATAGATGAATAGATAAGAAAAATGTGGTATGTGTATACACAATGGAGTACTACTTAGACTTTAAAAAAGGAGAAAATCCTGTCATAGTGAAAACATGGATGAACCTGGAGGATATTATGTTAGGTGAAATAAGCCAGGCACAGAAAGACAGATACTGCATGATCTCACTTGTATGTAGAATCTAAAAAAGACAAACTCATAGAAGGAGAGACTAGGCTGGTGGTTACCAGAGTCTAGGGGGATAAATGAGGAATGGGATGATGTTGGTCAAAGGATACAAAGTTTCGGTTAGAGAGGAGGAATAATTTCTGGAATTTCATTGTACCCTATGGTGACTATAATTAATAATAATGTATTGTTTATCTGAAAATTGCTACGATAGTAGATTTTTAATGTTCTCACCACAAAAATATTAGTATATGAAGTGATGGGTACATTATTAGCTTGATTTAATTATTCTACAATGTATACATATATCAAAACATTACATTATACTTCATAAATGTCTAAAAAATTTTTTCAATTAAAAATAAGTAATTAAGAAAGAAGGCTGTAGCTGAATCTCTAGTGCTAATGGCCCTTAAAAGGACTAGAGTAGTAGAAGAGGATGGACTACATGGAGCCCAGCAGAGGAAGACTTGAAGAGTGATACTTCTTCCCTGAATCTCTAGCACCATACAGCAGAAAACAGGCTTTGACTGCCATGTGCACATCTGCTGTCAGCTCCACCCAGCTACTAGTACCCTTCTCTGATTGTAGTTTGGTTTCTAATACAATTTTTAAATTTGTGTATTAATGAGTAATTGTGCGGATGAATACATTTTTAAAGGGAGATAACATGCTGATAGCAAAGAGTAGCATTTTTGTCTATGTAGCAGATAAAATTCTCAATGAAGAGTCATACTTTGGTATCTTGGCTACTAGATCAACCTCTTATTGTGGTGAGGCTTTGTTTCCTTGACACTGAACAACTCTAGGTAACCTGATAAAAAGGACTTTCTGGTTTACAAAGCCGAGGATCAGGCCTCACCAGGATGTTTTAAGGGTTTTACATGCACCTGGTTTTATTTGTTCATTCATTGAAAAATTATCAAGCTCCTATTATGTGCCAGGGACAATTCCAGCCTCCAGAGCTATCACAATGAATAACAGAGAGTTCTTGCCCTCAAGGAACAAATAGTACAATAGGACAGAAAAATACATGGGAGATTTCTCTATAGTGTGATAAGAATGAAGACAGAGGCTGGCGGTGGCTCACGTCTGTAATCCTAGCATTTTGGGAGGTAAAAGTGGGAGAACTGCTTGAGCCTAGGAGTTCAAGACCAGCGTGGGCAACATAGGGAGACCCTGTCTCTATAAAAAATTAAAAAAATAGCCAGGCATGGTAGTGCATGCCTGTAATCCCAGCTACTTGGAGGACTGAAGTGGGAAGTTCGCTTGAGCCCAGGAGGTCAAGGCTGCAGTGAATCATGATCATGCCACTGCATTCCAGCATGGGCAACAGAGTGAGACCCTGTCTCAAAAAAGAAAAAAAATTTGGGGTGAAAACTGGGAGGGACACCCAAAGCATACCTGAGAACCTGAAGTAGATCTCTGAGAGGAAGTGATAAATGGAGTCAGCCTGAAGGAGGCAGGGTGGTCTTCTCTGCACTGTTGCTGGAAGCCAAGTGTGGAAAGCCCAGAGACCACAGTGACTGAAGCCTGGAGACTCAGAGTGGAGCCAAGGGAACAGTGCACAGCGGAAAGGGAGAAGTAGGAAGTCACTGTAGCCTACTGAGGAATTTGACCTCCCCCTGAGGGAAAAATGAAATAATGCAGGAAAAATAAAATCTTCAGACTTGTTGTTTGAAAGACCACTCTGGCTGCATTTTGCAGTTTTGAGTCGGGAATAAAGGTTGATGTCAGGGAGGTTCAAATAAGGAGGTTATTTGAGATGTCCAACTGTGAGATCTGTCTTTGATATCTCTCTAGTTCTAGGTTAGATGCTTTGTAAGAGTCTCTAAATTCTAACTTGGGATTCTAGGGACACATCTGGTCAACATCAGGGCTGCTACCAGAGACCCTCCTTTGAAGCTACAAAGGAACAGGATGAGAAGCAGAAATGAACTACTACTGATTGAAGGAGAGAAATCTGTAGCATCAGGGAGAAGACAGGGGTGGTTGTGTGAAGATGGAAGTGAGTTTCTGTCATTTTTATTGCCCTTTGATGGAGTCACCTGTCCTAGGATGAGCATTCATCCTTAGGAGACATATTTAAACAGGCTGTATTTGAATCAGGGATGATCTATAATCTAACATGTTAGTATAGTATAAGAACATATGCTGGGCGCCAATTATATGTGGGCTACTGGGCCAGATGTTTTACATATATGATGTGATTCAATTATCCCCATGAGTATTTTTAGTAGATATTATTCTAGAAGGGTTAAATAACTTGCCTAAAATCACAGAGGTAATAAATGACACAGCCAAAGTTTAGAGATAACAGGTTCATCTGTATCACACTGCCTCCCAGTAACTTCTGTTTTACACAAACTGGTGTTTAACCATTTACCTTGGCATTGTTGATTGCAGCCCCATAGCCAGTTGAAAACCCACATCCAAGCAGACAAACTCTCTCTAAATTTGCATCGTCGTCTATTTTGGCAAGATTAGTATCTGACACTACAGTGTACTGAGAGAATGTACTGGTTCCCAAGAAATGGTAAACTGGTTTTCCTTTGCAGGTAAACCTGCTGGTTTTGTCTTCCATTAGTTGTTGATCACTAGCAGGATTTTTAAGATTACTAGAAAATTAAAAAAGAGAGAGAGAGAGATACAAATAAAGAGGAGTTACAATAAATGGAAGACTGATCATTTTCCTACAAAATATATTGAGCATTATACATCTTTCATGACAATTTACACGACAGAAAAATTAGGGAAACAACAAGACTTTTCACAAAATATAGTTTGTTGAAAGCATTTTAAAGATAACAACAACAATTTTTTTAAAGTGACAGGGTCTCGTTTTGTCACTCAGGCTGGAGTGCAGGGAATAAATTTTTTTTTTTTTTTAGACGAAGTTTTGCTCTTGTTGCCCAGACTGGAGTGCAGTGGCACGATCTCAGCTCACTGCAACCTCCGCCTCCTGGGTTCAAGCAATTTTCCTGCCTCAGCCTCCCGAGTAGCTGGGATTATAGGTATGCATCACCATACCCGGCTAATTTTGTATTTTTAGTAGAGACAGGGTTTCTCCATGTTGGTCAGGCTGTTCTCAAACTCCCGACCTCAGGTGATCCTCCAGCTTCGGCCTCCCAATGTGCTGGGATTACAGGCATAAGCCACCGCACCGGCCAGGGAACAAACTTTTTTTGAATGCTTTTGTGTACCAGAAATGCTTTTAAGGGCTTTACATGTATTAACTCTTAAAAATTTTTATTATGGAAAATTTGAACATGTATAAAAGTAGAAGGAATAGCATAATGAACCCTTATGTGTCTGTGTCCCAGCTCCAGTAACCATCAACTCATGGCCAATCAAGTTTCACCTATTATTCCTTCACAATACCTGCTCCCTCCCCTACACTGGAATATTTTGCAGCAAATCCCAGATATCACTATTTCATCTGTAAATACATTAACGTGTGTCTCTACAGGATTCTTTTAGGTCCACATATTTGTTGTCTCTTAATTATCTTAAATTATAGATCCCTTCTCTCTCTCTCTCTCCTTGCAATTTGTTTGTTGAAGAAATTGAATCATTTGTCTTGTAGAGTTTTCCTCACTCTGGATTTTGCTCATAACATTCCTGTAATATGGTTAAACATATTTCTGTATCCCTGTATCCCCTCATAAATTAGTATTTTTGATGTAAACACTTGATCTGATTCAGATTTTATATTTTTGTGGTAATGCTTTATAGGTGGTATTGTATATTTCATTTGGAATATATAATTATCTCTCTTTTTATAACATTAGAAAGAATTTATTGGCATTGTCTAAATCCATTATTTCATTAAAACTTTGCAAAAAATATTAGTTCTTTGAATGTCTAGAACAAATCTATGAAGGAGGCATTATTTTGATCCTCATTTTTTAGATGAAAAAATTGAGGCACAGTAATAGATGTAAGAGTAGTACAGTTTTAGCTTCTTAAATAACTGCTTTCAATCTGTAGTCTCAGTAAAGCAAAAACAAGATGATTAAGATTGTGGACTCTGGAGCCATACTGCCGGGGTTAAAAACCTGGCTCTAAGACTTATAACTATGTTGCCCTGGGGTAAATCACTTTACTGTGCCTTATTGTTTCCCTCTCTCATCCCTGTAGAAGTATTTATTATTCTGAATTTGGCATTTATTATTTCAGTGATTTATTTATGCTTTTACTACATATACAAATAACCATTAGAAAGTATAGTATTGTTTTTGTATATGACACCTTACTAAATATTCCTTCAGCAATTTGCTTATTTCCCTTAACATTATGTGTGTGAGATTATTTTATGTTAATACATGCAGCTCAAGTTTAGCCATTTTCATTGTTGTGTAGTAGTCCATTGTGCTACTACGTAGCAATTTTAAAATTCATTCTCTTTCTGATGGACATTTGTGCTGTTTTAAATTGCTTACTATAATAAACAGTGTTGCAATGAACATTCCAGCACATGTTTCTTTGTGTGCACTTGCAATAGTATCTTGTACACACCTAGGATTAGAATTAGTATGTGGAAGGTTTGCACCTCTTCAAGGCCATTTAGGTAATGTCAATGTGCTTTCCAAAATATTCATTCAAATTTATACTAACAGTGTAGAGTGCTTACCTGATTTTTCCACAAAAATTTGTGAGTGGACTCAGACAAAACTTGCATTTTCTACATAGAGGTGCATAAAGTGGAATTACTTTGTCACCTAGAAAAAAAGGCCATATGTTGGATGGTGCCTAAGATGTTACTTATAGTTCCTACCAGATAAATCAGTGGAAAACACCTTTTCTTTATAGTATACATTTTATATTCAGTGGAAAGTATAGGTGGCTACAATATTTCATTACCTTACAAGACTGCAGATTCCCCCAAGTATTGCCTATATTGTATTTTTTAAAAAATTACTCTGCTAGGCAGTCAAGCAACAAATCTGTGTTGATATCACCAGACACAGAACTCTGGGACTTTGCTGTCATTATGACTCTCTGCATCATGACTATTGTTTATTACATTTCCAAACACCATGTATGAAACATAACATCCTTATATAATAGGAGAGGTAAACAATTATAGGCTAGGTATAAACTTTATATCATTGCCATGTTTCACCTTTAGATTCACTTTCAAATTCCACATTTTTCCACTTTTTCATAAATTCCAATTTAATCGTGACTTCTGTGCTTCAATGCCTGAGGTCTAATGATGATAATTCACATTTGTTCAACATTTAATACATGCCATGCATGCATTTAATACATGCCACGCATGCATTTAATACATAACTATTTACATGTATTATTTCAGAACTTAATTCTCAGAAAAACTCTTTGAGATGAGCCCTATTTTTATTCACACTATATAAAACAGAAATCTGAGCTGAATCACAGAAAAGTGACATAACTGGTCAAGATTACATAGCCAGTAAGTGGCAGAGCTGGGGCTAAAGGGATGATATTGGCCAGACTCCTTCATTGACACAAAATGTTGGGAAGCAATTTGTTTGTACAGTCTTTTTTGGAATGGAAAGGTACTAATGTACCTCTAACTTTGGAGCATTCTCATTCAAAGAGAAAAGAGTGGCATGGTTCATCCAGCCTGCCAAATGAGGATTACGTAGCCCATATTCCAGTATCTGGAGGATCTGTTGTAAATGTGGAGTAAATAATTTCAGCTATTGGTGTGTGCTTCATTTAGGTATTATGTTTATCTTACAAACTTCCAAAAAGACACTTCGGCTAACACTGACATATGTATATTTCTCACTAAAGCTACCTCTAAGTCCTAATTCTTTACATAGTTTGCTGTTAATATTAAAATAGTTTGCATTTTTATATAGAAGTTGTTATAACATGTCATTAACAAAACCTTTTATTTTACACCAGATGCAGTGGCTCACATGTGTAATCTCAGTGCTTTGGGAGGCTGAGGCAGGCAGATCGCATGAGGTTGGGAATTCAAGACCAGCCTTGCCAACATGGTGAAACCCTGTCTCTACTAAAAATACAAAAATTAGCCAGGTGTGGTGGATCATGTCTGTAATCCCAGCTACTCTGGAGACTGAGGCACAAAAATTATGTGAACTCGGGAGGTGGAGGTTGCAGTAAGCCAAGATCGTGCCACAGTCCTCCAGCCTGGGCAACAGAGTAAGACTCTGTTAAAAAAAAAAATGTCTGGGCACAATGGCTCATGCCTGTAATCCCGGCACTTTGGGAGGCCAAGGTGGGTGGATCACCTGAGGTTAGGAGTTTGAGACCAGCCTGGCCAACATGGTGAAACCCTGTCTCTACTAAAAATAGAAAATTAGCCAGGTGTGGTGGCACATGCCTGTAATCCCAGCTGCTCGGGAGGCTGAGGCAGGAGAATCGCTTGAACCCAGGAGATGGAGGTTGCAGTGAGCTGAGATTGCACCACTGCACTCCAGCCTGGGTGACAGAGCAAGACTCTGTCGCAGAAAAGAAAAGGAAAAACAACACTTTTAATTTTAGATTTAGGGGTACTTGTGCAGGTTTGCTATATAGGTAAACTCGTGTCATGGAAGTTTGGTGTACAGATAATTTTGTCACCCGGGTACTAAGCATAGTACCCGACAGTTATTTTTCTGAGCCTCTCCTGCCTCCATCCTTCATCCTTAAGTAGGTCCCAGTGTGCCTGTCATTGCCCCATTTGTGTCCATATGTTCTCATTATTTAGCTCCTACTTATAAGTGAGAACACTCAGTATTTGGTTCTCTGTTCCTGCAATAGTTTGCTAAGAATAATGACTGACAGCTTCCATATTCCTGCAAAGGACATGATCTTGTTCTTTTGTAAGGTGTCATTTGTTAAACATGGAAATTTCAGTTTAAGCTAACCTTGTAACTTTGCTTCATAGGACAATTTCTCAGTGCTTTATGTAAATAAAATGACCACATTTCCCAGATTTTATTAGCAGTTCTGATTTCAAATATTCTGTCCCATTGCTAGACTGTGATAGATTGTGTGACTCAGTTTTACTTTGGAAAAGATGGTCCCCCTTTGTAAATAGAGATCAATTATAGCATGCCAAGCCAGGACTCTCTCAAGAATTATCTCTGAAATATTGTGACATTTCCATTTTATCTGAATAAAATAAAATACCTGGTTTGAAGTTGGTCACTCCTGGCCCAATACTTTCCACAATCCCTGCAGCCTCATGGCCAACGATCACTGGGAAAGCTAAGCCCTCAAATTTAGAATCGATAACAGTGGCATCAGTATGGCACAGGGAAGTAGCAATGATCTACAAGGCAATTACAGACTTGAATTGTGTTTCTGCAACTATATTATTGAACTGGACATTACATATAATATTAGGCCTGATATCATTTTGAAACTTTATAAGACTTCTAGAACTCAACAAAAGAATCACCTTTTGAAAAAAAGAACTAATAAAAATGTACTAGGTTAAATTTGTTTTATAATGCATCTTTGTTTTCCACCTTTTGCTGTTGTCAGAAAATCAAAAAAGAGATAGGATTGGCAATTATTGCCTCCAGGAGAGGAAAAATGAAAGGTAATAGGGCTTATATTATAGGGTTATTATATTATAGGCTTATTATAGGGTAAATTTACTGAAATAAAGTTAAGGTAATATACCTTTTACAGTTACGAGAACGATATCAAATTAAGGATTGTCTACATTAATTACCAATGTATATCTATAATCTTCTTCAAGGTTCTGTCAATGAGGATGTCCCATTCACTCTCATGTACAGACTCTTAATGTGGGGGTCCTCAGGGAAAATATAAGTCTGGTCAGCTTGGGAAAAATGGGGAAAGTCCAAACTTGCCATCGGTGATCTCACTCCATTCCACGTACTCTCTTCTCCCTGTGACCTACTCCTGTCTCTTCCTCTGGATACCCAGGACCCTTCGGCTGCCCACAGCAGCATATCAGGTTTTTCTTCTTTGTTGTTTTGGATCAAATTCTCTATCTTCCTTTTAATAACACTTTCAAATAATTAGCAATTGGAAAACAAAAAGAAAACCTAACTAATTCAAATTCAAAGTGAATTCCTTTGTCTGATTCTTAGGGTAAATGATTAATGTTAAGACCAACATTATTCAAAAATTACTAAAATAATGGATAATTTATTCCTTTTTGGGATAATGCCTATTTTTGACTGAACCTAAAAATACAACTTCCCTGTACTAGAAACTCCAAGGCCTCTGAATCATAGCACATAGGATTGACTTGACAGAAGCCATGTCTCCACTTGGGGCCCTGTCTGCTCCCACCCAAGGAAAGTCTCTACTTACCTGAATGCGAACTTCATGAGCCTTGGGGGGAGCTACTTCAACCTCTTCAATGCAAAGGGGCTTGCCTGCTTCCCAGGCGATGGCTGCTTTGCATCTAATAACCTGAAAGAGAGAAAGAAAAGGAAGAAGGAGATAGAGATTTTGACAGGGTTGGGGGTGGGAGAGAGGATATCATGAGAAAAAATTAGAATATATTAATACTATAATTTCATGACAAAGACTTAAAGAGTTTGTGGCTGGATCTTACAGATATTATTTTAAAGACAAGGGATCTTAATGAAAAATAAGAAGTTAAATTCTACATTATAGTCATTACATTTTTTATTTCTTGAAAAATAATAACAGGTGTATTGAAGTTTACCTTAATATAATGCCTCAAGTTTTTCCCTCTATAACAGAGAGGATAGATTTATAGAGTTGGAAAAGGTAGATGGCCTATAAAAATCTATTGAGTGAACTGTTTGAAATCAGCTCTGAATTACCTGAGTCAGATAATTGCTGGAGAATAGATGTGTTTTACATCTTTGCAACTCGAAGTGTGGTCCTCAGACAAGCATTTATTCACATGACTCGGGAATTTGTTAGAGATAAAAGCCCTGCCTCAAATCCACTAACTCAAAATCTGCATTTGAACAGTGTCCCCAGATAATTCATTAAAAGTCTGAGAAATGAGGCTTACATCATTATCAAATTTATCTGTAGGATATAAATTAAATAAAAATTTGGTCTAATTGTAAGAATTTGGGTAAAGATGAATGAACAGAATTTAAGTATTTGGGATTCTATAATCCCAATTCTTTTCTAGCCTCAAATTATATTTTTAATTTCAAATATAAGCAACATTCAAAGAAAGCAGAAAGAAATAAACCTATAATCTTCTGTTCTAACACTACTATGCTTACATTTGGTATACTTTTCCCAAAGTCTTTGACCACATGAATATCTATTTTTCTATAGTTAAGTAATTTTGAATTATGTTTTTGAATATTATTTATTTTGTTTCAAAGGAAATATATATTAATTATAGGAAGTTTCAAAGTGCCAAGGCATACCTGTTTTTAAAGACAAAAAATAAAATGAAATTCATCTGTAAGCTCATTACCCACTTTATGCTTTTGATGCAAATTCTTTGAATATCCCCAAATAAGATACATTGTCCATAGTATTTTGTAATCTGCTTTTTCTACTTATTAATATACTGTGAATGTTTTCCCATATTCTCCTGCAACGTTATTTGTAACTTATGCATATTCTATTTTAGGGTTACAGCCTAGTTACTTAAATCTCTCTTCTTTTGGCCATTTGAATAATATTAATATTAACTCAACACCCTTGTAATAAACATTTTGGCAATCCACAGTTAATTTCCCTGGAATAAGTTCCTGGCATAGGGGCCACTCATATCCTTTTGATCAACTGTAAGTCACTGTTCCTGAGTTCCTGAAGGAAGCTTCTTTTAGCTAAACATACAAAGACACAGAAAAGCACAAACTGAACAAAGATACAGCTTATTTGCTTACTTTGCCCTTGGTGCCCATTTTTCTTTGGGAAACTGTGTTGGGAGTTTCTTTCTGAGTTAAGAAGGCTTCCACTGCTCCCCAGAGAGTTCTGTGTCCTATAATGAGCCGTCTTTGCATAAATACCATTCATGTTGCATAATTCTCCAATCACTTTCTTTCCTTCTTTGTTGCTGTAATTCACAGCTCTGCCGGCCTCTTACCACGTCATTTGTACTATTGGACTTCAGCTGCAAAGCCCACTACTCTCAGTCAGCTCCAAGATTTTTAAAATTCTTTTTTCCTTAATTGAAAAATATAAAATAATAGAGAAAAGCCCATTAAACGTATAAAGAGGAATTACCAAATAATTATGAAGTAAAGGAAATTTCTACTCCTCAGAATTGCCCATTTAACTTACTTACTCTCCTCCTTCACAACTCTCATAATCATTTCTGCATATTTAGTGGTTTACTACCTATTTATGCTTCTCTATCCAATAGTTTAATCTAGTAAAGCCTTTTTATGAATGGAATCATAGTGTATGTATTGTTTCATGTCTTTTTTCTCCCCTCTACTCTAGTGAGAATCATTCACATTGCCTGTGACTGTAGCTTATTTTCATTACTCTAGAATATTCCACTGTATGAATTGAACATAATTTATTCATCCATTTTCCTTTTTGCTGTTTTTTTCCTCTTTGCTTATGATGAATTAGTGGTTACATACACATTCTTTTCATGTACACGGTTGCACATATGCTTGAGTTGCCTTAAAGAAAATTCAGAACTGATATTCAGCCAGTACCCACTATGAAGTCCATGCCAATTATCAAAATTTGGAAATATTTTTATTCAGCTTGGTAAAAAGTCACTATCCCAAGTCCCCAAGTTCCCCTTCAACTCTGTTGCAACCCTGGGGGCCCCTATTTAGTCACTGCTAAGGAGCTACTCTTTTTGTACCGCCTGATGTGTGAGTCCATCAACCAGCCCTGATGGTTCTGGGTCTCTGGTGTCCCCCCAAAACACAGTAGTCCCTGGAACCCCAGTAGAGAAATACCTAGTGTCCATCTGACCTCCTGGGGCTGTGGCCACCAGTGCTGTGGGTCAGAACTCCCCTGGAGTCACATGTGTATTTCCATTTGTGAGAAATGGAGTTTCCTATCTGTACTGGTTGTTAAATATTTTTTGACTAGGAGTGGAATTAAAGTCTTCAACTTTAATAGGAAGGCCAAGGAATTGTACAGAATGGCTTCACCTACCATCAGCAGTGCATGAGGGTCCTTGTTGCACCACATCCTCACGCATGCTTGGAATTGGCAGACTTTAAAAACTTTCTTAATCTAGTGGTGCGTAAAGATATCTAATTGTGTTTTTTAAATTTGTATTGATCCGATTATTAATAAGGATAAGCACCAGTCCTGTACTGGAGTCAGCTCATATTGATTTTGTTGTGCTTATTCTATTAACTAGTGAGAGATGTTTAGAAATCATTATGATTACTCTGATTTGATCATTACACATTGTACGTGTGTACTGAAGTATCATAGGTACTTCACACAATATGTACAATTCTTTCTGTACATATTAAAATTAAAAATAAAAATGAATAAATAATAAAATTATTTAAAATAATAACTAAAAATAAAAAGAAACAAAAAATACATCATTATTATGAATTTGGTAATTTTTGATAGTGCTTTTTTTATTTTACATATCTTGAAGCTTGATATTACGTGCATGTAAGTATTCTGTGTTCCATGTGTTTTAGGAAATTTAACAACATATTTTTACTATCTTTCCCTGGCAGTGTGTTTTCATTATCTACATTATTTCTTTTAATAGTCCCCTAGTATTCCACCATCTCTTAAATATTTCAGTTCTATTAAACTTTTTGAAAGCATAATTTATACTCTTTGTTTCTACTTTTTCACTAACTACGTTTCACTCAGCTCATTTGATTTCCATCTCTTTGTTCTATTGAAACTGTTTTCCCCAATGCAATGCATGCCTTTTTTTCAGTTTACTCTGATTGGAGCATCTACTGTGGCCAACTAACCCCTTATATTTCCTTAAGGTGCGTCTCCTGGTTACTATCTAGCATTCCCACTCTTTCTATTTGGATATGGTCTTTTTCCTTTTTGAATCTCTGTAGCACTCGTGTTTGCATAACTCTTCAGGCTTACACATAAATAGGCAAATGAAGCAAAGTAAGTTTTGCTTATTTTGTCTCATGTTCTGTTACTTGTGTCTTTTCTGACAACCTGTTTCCTACCTGTAGCCTCCTTAACTGTGGAGATTGTATTTTATTTACATTTCGTATCCTGAAGAGTATACTTCAGAGCCCCCCAAAAATACTAGGTGATTACTAAATGCTGGTCAAATTGAATAATGACCTTGGAAACACAATCGGTACTAACCCTCTTTTCTGAATGCTTGGTATCTGTCTTTTTTTGGTCTTTGCTTCTGTGCTGCACTTTGATAAACTTTTTGAAGTTAAGGATGGTCTTTTCCTTTCTATAAATATCAAAGGACCTGCTGAGAATTGTTTTGAGAGGAGAAGGGAGAAGAGGTATCAGAATAGTAAATCCTGGGCATTTGAATGTGAGGGCTTCTTCTAAAGGTTAAAAAAAAAAATCATGGATTCTTTTTATGAGAATGGTTTTACCTTTTGTGACTTTTCATTTGTGGGCTTCTAGATGTTTTCAAAATTCCCAGTGTTATATATACCTTTAGAAATATAATTTCTCTCCCATTATATTAGCATAAATAATATTTTATAATATTCCATCATTCTCAACTTGAATACCCAAATAGCACATTTGAAGCCCAAGATGTTTCAAATTGAACTCATTGGGTTTCTGCACCAACCATTCCCTTTTTTTTTTTTTTGAGACAGAGTCTCGCTCTGTCACCCAGGCTGGAGTGCAGTGGCATGATCTCAGCTCACTGCAAGCTCCACCTCCCAGGTTCACGCCATTCTCCTGCCTCAGCTTCCCGAGTAGCTGGGACTACAGTGGCCCGCCACCAAGCCTGGCTAATTTTTTTTTTTTTTTTTTGTATTTTTAGTAGAGACAGGGTTTCACCGTGTGTTAGCCAGGACGGTCTTGATCTCCTGACCTCGTGATCTGCCCGCCTTGGCCTCCCAAAGTGCTGGGATTACAGGCGTGAGTCACTGCACCCGGCCTCCTTTCTCCTTATTTTTAAAATAATTGTTTATTTTCTGCATCAAAGGACATCTCTCCTAGATTCTGAAACACTTTCCTTTTCATGTTAAAATCTCTGTAATCAGTTGCTTCTTACTATCAATGGCATGTCATAGTTTAATTGGAAGCATTTTTCTTTCACAATGGTTCGTAAAATTATGGTGTACCTGACAATTGATGTCTTAGCCCTGATAAGGTAGAGTAGTTGTAAAAATGTATAGATTGCAATTCCTCAGCATTTCACCCATTTGTCTTTTTTTTGAGACAGAGTCTTGCTCTGTCTCTCAGGCTGGGGTGCAATGGTGCTATCTCGGCTTACTGCAACCTCCACTTCCAGGGTTCAAGCGATTCTCCTGCCTCAGCCTCCGAGTAGCTGGGATTACAGGTGTCCACCACCACGCCCAGCTAATTTTTGTATTTTTAGTAGAGATGGGGTTTCACCATGTTGGCCAGACAGGTCTCGAACTCTTGACCTCAGGTAATCTGCCCACCTCGGCCTCCCAAAGTGCTGGGATTACAGGCGAGTCACCATGCCTGGCCCATTTGTCTTTTTCTGCCTACACTTCTACATTGTGGTTCATTTCCTCACTATTTCTTCCTGTTTTGAAACAATTGAGATAACATTTACTTAACATAAAATTTACCATTTTAACCATTTCAAGGTATACAGCTTAATGTTTTCAAAATATATTCACAATGTTATGCAACTATCACCACTACTAGTTCTAGAACATTTCTTTTTTTTTCTTTTTTTTTTTTTGAGATGGAGTCTCGCTTTGTCACTGGGGCTGGAGTGCAGTGGTGTAATCTCGGCTCACTGCAGCCTCTGCCTCCTGCGTTCAAGTGATTCTCGTGCTTCAGTCTCCCGAGCAGCTGAGACTACAGGTACCCGCCACCACACCTGGGTAACTTCTGTATTTTTAGTAGAGATGGGGTTTCGTCATGTTGGCCAGGCTGGCCTTGATCTCCTGACCTCAGGTGATCTACTCGCCTCGGCCTCCCAAAGTGCTGGGATTGCAGGCATGAGCTACCACGCCTGGCCAGAACATTTCAGTCACCCAAAAGAGGCCACATATGTGCTAATTTCTCCTTCCATTTAGCTTCTGGCAACCACTAATCTATTTTCTGTTTCTGTTGATTTGCCTATTCTGGACATTCCTTGAAAGGGAGTAATAATGCTGGAGAGTGCTGAAAATGCTGAAATGCTAAAAAATGGTGGATATGTTAGGGCAGCAGGAGCCTAGGAGAGCCAGAGTAACAACATTTTCAAATAAGCTCTATCTTAAAACTAGCAAGGCATATTCCTTGCCAGTCATGACCTATGGTCCTAAGATGTTTACCACTAAGGAAGCGCTTGGTAATGCCTGCAAGGACAAACTCCTACAACAGAAAAGTCCAGATGTCACAGCACCCATAACAATATATGCTTTCAAGATAAAGTTATGCTTCAATGGACTTACACACTAAGATATCAAGGATAGTTTTCTTTAAATCAATAGAATAATACATTTAGTCATGCTGTCAGCCCACCTGCACATAGGCACAGCCAGTTTAATCTTTACGTAGGCAAGACCTTTTATAAGAAAAACTTAAAGACAGTACATTCCTCTGCTTGCATTTTGAGGATGCTCTACTGGGTCACAGAGTGGCTTTCAGTAAACTATCTCTTCTCACAGAACTCTGAGACTCACCTTGAATTCCTTCCTGTGTGAGATCCAAGAACCTTTTCTTGGGGTGTGGATCTTGAAAAGACCCCTTTCTAGCATCATATTCTGGGGACACCATAAAGGGACCTTAAGATCAGAGGAAATTCAGTCTGCACAGCACTCATTGTCCCCTCTGGTTAGTTGGGTCCATCTTGGTGTCCTCTATTAGGTTTAGGCAAAGCCGATATTCAGGTTAGAGTCTGAGCCCATGAGGTTAGAG